ACATTTTCATTCCTACACACCTAGTGTCTTTTACTCTGTGCCTCCTGGCTTCTTTTCCCTTCTTCCTTTTTGCTATCAGTTCAATACTTACTGATATTCAACTTCAGTTACTACGCCTTCCCCAGAAGCACAAGCTTTGCCACAAGCCTACCTTTGTGTGCTGGGTTGTAGACGTAGTCAGTTTTACACTACGCTTTCACACCTGTCGGACCGTTGTCCGAGCACATACCTTTTATAATATGTTCAAGCGAGCTTCGATATCAAGCATGTTATGTACTTTGTAACCTATTCTGGATCTACCTGACATATTTTGGATGTTTTTACTATGCTCAATAAAAAACAAAACTTTTTGTGAAAAATATAAAAAAATGTAAAAGTTTATTAAAAATAAAAATAAACTTGTTTAAAATGATTTTTAAAAATGTAAAGAAAAAGAAAAAACGTTCGGCTATTCACTCCGGCTCATTTCAGCCATACATCAGCTGCTTTCGGCCAGCCGAACATGCTCTGCATGTTTGGCTGAGCCGAAGTGCAGAAGGACTTTGACTCAACCTATCCAACATCTGGGTCGGCTGAGCCGAAGCTCTGGCAGCTCACTCGCTGGCGTTCACCCCCCGTCACATAGGGGTTAAACAGCAGTGCGTGAATAGCCGAATGCAGCCGAGCGGTACCTCCGTGGTACCGAGCAGAATAGCAAATAGTGAAAAAAGTTTTTTAAAAAGTTGAGAAAATATTTTTTTAAATGTAAATAAATATTACATTAAAAATAAAGATAAACCCCCCAAAAGAAACAATTGGGCGGAGCTAGCAGTGACGGCTAACTCCGCCCAACTGTTTCCTATTGGCCGGCACCTGCTAGAGTCTTCTAGCATATTACAGTCAATGCCAGGGCACCTGGAATTAGCAAGATAAATGCCACTATAATCCATCCAGGCTGACTACAGCACTAGCCATCACTAAATGTCTAGTAGCCACCTCACAAAAGGTGATGGGGGCCACGCATGCATTGCTGTGTAGCCTTGTCATTCTTATTAAATGGTGCACTACAATGCATGGGGAAAAAAAAAGGGGTTACGTCCAATTTGGTGACTTGGCATACGATTCATTTCATTGGGCTGCCTTAATTTATTGCATATTAAGACGCAATATAATGCACATGTGTTAATTCATTGCAACAATGGCCATCTTCAATGAGTAATTCTAGATGGATCTGATTATTAGCGGGATAGAACTTGCGGAAATCCATTATAGAAATACAGATGTATTTTATGACCATAGATACCTTTTTTGAAGTCTAAACCTAACAATGTTTAACAGCAGAAGCCACCAGTTGGTATTCTTGTGTATATGACCACTTGAAATGTATGTAAATATTACACATATCAGTGTCGCATTCATCTTCATGGAGTAAATGAGTCTCATGGGGTAAATCTAATACTAGAGGCAATGACATAGAAAGCAGCACGGCTCCCCCTGGTGGCGGAGAGCAGAGTGACACGTATTTATCACATGGATACATTGTACCCTGCACTGTGTAATGGCAATGTCATGTTAAGTTTTTCTTTCATCGCGTATGTGTGTATATGTTGCACATGACATGCACCTGGTTGCATACCCACTCATGGAAGACATTATTTTATTCCACCCTTACTATTTATTTATTTATTTTTGGTCTGTGTTAGGCAAGACTTTTGGGAATAGAGACGCTGGTTGGAATATTTTTCTGACTTAGTTTTACAATTTTTCATGTTTTTGCGTGAGGCTAAAAGTTCAAGTTTCTTCGCCTCCCAGTCCTCATCCAGTTCATCCAAGGGGTTTCCTTCCAGCTCTGCTCCCAGGCGATAGTCTCTGCATTCCACCTCAGCTCTGAAAAGTTATATGCACAATACCATTTCCCTTTTTTTTTGGTTAAAGATCCAACCCTCTGCCGCCATTATCCATGACAGTCCATCATTCACACGCTCTGAACATGGATAGATGTAGCACATCAAACTTACGTCTCCAGGAACTTCACACAGTCCCTATGACCGTATATCTCCGCAGTTCTGCGAGGGGAGTCGCCATGTAGGTCTGTAGTGTCAATGGGAGCGTGCAGGGAATGGAGAGTACGGAGAACACTCAGCTTTCCTGACTCTGCTGCAAAGTGTGCCGGAGTCCATCCCGTGTCGGTCCTGAGACAAGGCCGAGCCCCATAATCTATTAATAGTTTCACCGTATCCGACTGGCCTGGTGGATGCAAAAAAAATTTTTCTGGAATAAGCAAAAAAGGATAAAAGAACCCCTGGCTAGCTTTTTTTTTTTTTTTTATTTCTTTGCTTTTGACAGTACGAGTTTGTGCAAACAACAATGATGCTATTATTTAAAGGGAAGCTTTTGTGTATTATCATTTAGTTATTATTTTTAAGGAGTTGTTAAAGGAGAACTATGAGGCGAGTGCTTCTCAGTCACCTCATAGTTCTAGCCGACCTGTGACAATGAGACTGTCACAGGTCGGCTCAGTAGATCGGGAGGTGAGCGAACACATACCGGCGTTCGCTCACCTCTCGATCCTGTCACAGCTCTCTGTCGTGACGGGAGGGGCTGGATTCCCCCCGCTCCGATCTGCCAGCGCTGAGTGGCGGAACGGACGGGGGAGGGGGCGGGTACAGCTGCCTCTGCCTCTAGATGGGCAGAGCCAGCTGACACTCACGCAGCTGGGCGGATCCAGACATAATTGTCGGGATCCGCTTCAGCGTCTCAGTATACCGACAGCAGTAGCTCACGGTATACTGAGCTTAGGGTGACGGGAGGACGCTAGTTTGTGTCCTCCCGTTACCCTAAGGAGAACTATGGGAAAAATCCTCTCCGGTTACAATATCGGCATTGTAATAGGAAAACGTACTAGAGCTTGTGCTTTGTGTCTCTTTCCCTGCTAGTTGATGTGATGCAATCTATTTCAAGACTACATATCCCTTCATGCATTGCTTCCAGCAAGCAATGATAATGTTACATTGTTCAGACGTTGGGTTGTATATCAGAAGGCCGACTCTGTGGATTGTGTCAGTACATTGAGGAAGTCCATCCTATGGGCATCTTCAATAAGTAAGTGTGCAAACTTCTGGATGGATATGATTATTAGTAGTGGGATGGAACGTATGGAAATTCAATATAGAGCAGTGGCGGAACTATGGCCATAGTGACGCAGGTGGCCGCTATGGGGCACAGGGGGACCCAGCCAGGACGAGGACAAAGGGGTCCCCCTGATGCTGTGCAGGCCACCAGGGTCGCTATGGCATCGCAGGCTGCTAGCTGTGAGGAGGAACGCGCCGCTGTTCAGATCACTGACAACCTGTTAGTGATCTGTGCAGCAGCAGGTTCCTCCTCGCAGCCGCTGCTCAGTCAGGGACAGCCAGCACCTGCGGAAGAGGAGGCAGGGCCCGACGTCGGCAGCGGAGGAGGAGGAGCCCGCCAACAACTGTGGAGGAGGCGGGGCCCGGTGGTGGAGCAGGCTGACAGCGAATCGGGGCTGACAGCTAAGAGCTGTGTGTGCAGGGATGTGACCAGCCCACCTGTGACCCTGCAGAGCCTGCCATATAGTCTATGGTGGGCTCTGCAGGGTCACTCTCAGGTGGGCTGTTTGGGATCTCAGGTGGGCTCTGCAAGGGGCATAACTAGAAATCACAGGGCCCCATACAAAATTTTGCTATGGGGCCCTGTGATTTCTAGTTACGCCCCTGATATAGAGATGCATATTTTTAGTTTTATGACCATAGAAACCCATTAACATTTACATGAAAAGTAGTTTTTATGTAACAGTCACAAGTTTATATGATCGTTGTACCATATTTCCACTACTGTTCTTTTATATATGGTCTCGTTCACACCTAGGCGTATTGCATATGCGCATCTTTTTTTACCACGATTCGCGGTAAAAAGTCGTTTCCGAAGGCTACTTGGCTATATCCCAATGGAAACGCGCAACAAAACGGCCCAAAGTAGTACCTGTACCTTTTCAGGCGTGGGCCGTTTTGTAGCGCGTTGGGGATGGGCGGAAATACGCCAAGATGGGAACGAGACCATTGAATACAATGGGATTTATATTTTTGAGCGTTTTGTAGAGCGTTCGTCGAGCGTAGAACGCGCTACAAAACGTTCAGGTGTGAACGAGGGCTCATGGTTATCTGTAGTTCACAGCAATCACTCAGCCCTCCTGTTCAACAGCTGCTTAAATGTCAGCTACTCAGAGAATGTATTGTTGTTAATCAGTCAAGCGTGACTGGTAGACTTGCAACAGAGCTTGCATATGTAATGAACACATATGACCACCCCTGTACAGTTACTGTATAATGACAAACTATAAGCAGAATCATAAAGACCCACTGATAAGATTATTACATCTAAATTATATTTATATAAAAAAATTATTTAAAAAACACCTATAATCGTCTTCTAAAGAGAAAGTCCCCTGGAGCCCTTGGAGACCATACAACATTTCGCTCTTCCTTATCCCCTGACAGCCCTTGCATGTAGCAGGTAAATTTGGGGAAATGGGGGCAAGCGATGTTGAAAAGAATATCCTCTTGTACCTTTTGCCGCGGCCCAGTGCAATGCGGTCCGGTCGTTCCAGTCGATGTCCTTATAATTCGGGTCGTAAAGTTCCTTCCTCAGGATCTCGGACACCAAGTCGTAATCCCCAAGTGCTGCTGCTTGATGGAGTTCAGTCACATCAGCCATCTCGATAGTTTCTGCTGTTCACAAAATCGAAGTTTGAAAAAAAGGTCATTAGAGGTGCACCGAAATGGACATTTTAAAAACGAAACCAAAATAAAAAAAGTCAGGCTGTAATATTTTTATTTTTTTTAAATATTTTATTTTTTATAAACTTTAATTTTTTTATTATTTACTTTTAGGGGCTTTGGGGAAATATTGGGGGTCTAAACAGACCCCTGATATTTCCCTTTTTAAAAGAGATTGAGAACACAGAGCCGTCAATCTCTTTTTCTGTGTCCCCTGTTATCAATGAACAGGAATCTGCTATACTGAGTGTTCCTGATCATTCATAACATGAGAATATTGTTTACTATAACTACAACTATGAATGAATGGGGGTGCTGTAGATCACTCCCATTCATTCATATTTGAGGATATAGTAAGCATACTCTATCCTCAATTATGTACACACACTCAGCGATCGCTGAGTGTGTGTACCTTGCTTTTCTCTCTGGAGGCTGAGCGAGCGGTGTAGAGAGGAGAGCTCAGCCTCCTGTGACAGCGCTGTCTCCGCCCCCACACCGCTCTGCCGGACTGTGATAGGCGGCTGAGCGCTGTGGGAGGAGAGACGCCGGCCGCTCACAGCGCTCTTGTCCTGCAGCGCTCGGCCGGCTGTCACTTTATTTTCTCCCCGCTGGAACGCAGAGCAGCGCCCAGCGGGGAGAAAAGAAACCAGAGATGTGCCGATGTATCGGCCGAAACATGGCTCTTTCGGCATTATGCCAAAAGTGCAATTTTCGGCCGATATATCGGTGCATCCCTAGTTATTATTTTTTTAACTAATAATCTAGTAATTAGAGGTGCACCGAAATGGAATTTTCAGAACTGAAACTGAAAATTCACTCCTGTCAGAGTGATCATGGGGGAAAAGGTGTCTCCACTGAAGCTTTATCATCAATCCTTGTTTCCACGACAACCCAACATTTTCCAAATCCAATTGCCACAGGGACAGAAAGTGAGGTGAAATCTTCTTCTGAACAGGGGGCACACACAGCAAAACAAACGTTACAGGGTTTAACCCTCTCCTATGCTATCCAAAGCTAAAAAAAAAATTGGAGTTACACTTAAATGTACCTGTTCCAACTTACATACAAATTCAACTTAAGAACAAACCTACAGTCCCTATCTTGTTTGTAAAGGTGCCCATACACTGCACGATTATCGTACGATAATCGTATGCGATCGGTTTTTCGTACGATAATCGAGCAGTGTGAACGGAGACGTGCGACTGTTACTACTGTACGGTCGCACGTCTTCTGTCGAACCAGCATGTTCGAAAACCAGCCGGAAATCGTACGATTCTCGGCTGGTTAGAACGGTGCTCGGAAGACAAATGCCGAACGGGCCGGTGTGCGCACGCGCACACTGCCCGTTCAGCATTGCGGTCATCGGAAGCTCTTCAGGGGGGCGGGCTTGCGATGATCGAGAGTGCGATCTGCCTGTCCAAGATAGGCAGATCGTACGTTTTTTAATCCCTGTACAACCATCGCAAGACTAAGGTCTTGCGATGGTTGTAGAGTGTATGGCCACCTTAACCCGGGGACTGCCTGTACATTGTTTCATCACCTGGCCTCTGGGTATCAGAATTGATTAACATGCAGGAACACTCTGAAGTGTTCTGTGAATCACATGTTCCTAAAATAACGCTTTGACCTTTTTTTCAGCCCATGGAATAGGGGTTACACTTTAGCTGCCGGTGACCTCTGGTGGTCTCACCTCTGACCTGTTAGGCTGATCATATCAATGGAATATTCTGGGTCACTGGTCCCAAATACATTAGCAATGCCAGTTTATTGAAAAGCTTTGCAATCTTCTGAAGTGCTGATGTACAGGGCCGGTGCTAGGATTCTTGCCTACACAGGCAAGCTGCGTTTTTGCGCCCCCATCCCCGACCCCCTGTAAAAACAGGGCATTTTGACAAGTACTTGTCAAAATGCCCTGATGTTTGCCCTATTGTTTTTGGGGTTTTTTTCACTTACCTTTTGGCGCGGGAGAGCAGCGGCGAGTCAGCGCTGGTCCGGTGGGAGGAGCTCCAGGTGGGGTCCTAATTTAGCTGGCCGGCGACTGTCGCGCGTGTCCGGGTCCTCTGGCAGTTGCCGGCCAGCTAAATTAGGACCCCACCTGGAGCTCCTCCCACTGGACCAGCGCTGACTCGCCGCTGCTCTCCCGGTTCGGTGCGAAGGTAAGTGAAACAAAAACAGCGCAAACATCGGGGCATTTTGACAAGTACAAGTACTTGTCAATATGCCCTGTTTTTTCCACCCTCACCCTGCAGCGCCCTCAGGCGACCGCCTGACTTGCCTTGCGGTAGCGCCGGGCCTGCTGATGTATCATCTGAGCTGGCCTGTTTTGGGATGGCTCTTCCTAGGTATCTGTACCTGTGGACTCCTCTTTTGGTGATAATGGGTTTGAAGCCAGGGAGCACAGGACCCAAAAGCAAACCCACGTCACCGCCACATCTTCATCTTTGGCAAAATAACTCGGGGGTGTTCAATATAATTTTTGGTCTGCTCCCTTGTTTGATTTCACTACTGAGGCTGAGGGTAAAGGAAAGTTCTCTTACTCGGCTCAGAGCTACCACAGATCTAGCGTAGCCATTCTCACTCTTTGGTACCTAATTGGAATAAAGAAATTGAAAAGTAATCCACAGTCTAAGTGAGGTTGAGCACCTCCAGGCTACCAGTATGGAGAACACTGTTTGAGTTGTAGGGCTGCTGGGTCTTTTGGTTCTTAACCCACCACTGCAAGAGCAGGAACAGGTAAGGAACCCTACAAGAATGGAACAATGTATATGTACTTTTTTATAAAGTCTCCTTCACACAACGCTCACCCTGAATTTGCACAGACACCAGTGATAGGATACACATTAATTGTATCCATTGCAATAACTCCTGCAGTATACAATTTCGGTCACTAGATGGCAGTGTTTATAAGTTCTGTTTTATATATGTATGGTATACTCTGTTGTATTGTAATAAGGTAGAGAATAAAGCTGTGGCTTCTTTCCTGTTTTCCAAGCCATGCCATGTGCAGCATGCATATCAGACTGTGTGCTTGTGTTTCTCTGTGAGGCTGTGCAGGAAGGTCCAACAACCAGATAAAATTCTGGGAATACGGGCCAGGATAGGAATATCGCCTCAAGGTATAATCTTGTACATGTCGCGTTGGTCAAGCAAATGCACTTTCACCTTTTTTATGTGACCTGTTTTTTCCCTTCACCAGGATGAAGGTTGTGGATCCTCACTGAAATCTTGGGGTAGGATGCGTGGCCATCAGGTTCCTTCTTCCCCTGAACTGGGGGGGTTTGGACTCCTTGGTCAGCTCCGGCTGACCATGAGGGTAGGAGACCACTTGGCTTCTGCTATGTTGTTAGGGTCACGCAATGGGAGGAATTACAGTCAGCACACACACATCTACCACTACTACTAATGAGAGCTCTGCCCGTCTATGGCCACCTTTTTAACCCTTTTGCTGTCAAGGCGTATTTTTCGTGTTTTTTTTTTTTTCTTTGCTCACATGTTATCCACATTTTAGGCCTGAAAGTTACTTCAAACCCCCAAGAGATTTATATTTCCTGAAATCACAGACCCTGTGGAATAAAATGGCGGCAGTTGCAAATGTTTATGTCTCATGATATTAGCTCAACCATTTATCAGACCCAGAATTTCAGTAAAAATTACACAAGTTCATTTCAGTGCCCAAAAACACAATGAAATACAATGTTTTTGTCAAATATAAAAGGAGGTGGGGCAGCTGAGCCCGGGAAACATGATGATGTGTGGGGTGGGCATGTAGGTAGGTGCAGTATGGCCAACGGCCACTAGATGCCCCCATGGGGCCCTGGAGATAGATGCAGCTCTGGCCTGGGGAAACTCTGTCCCAGGAGAGTTGATATATAGGGGGCGGCCGAGAGGGAAGGGGAGTTGTTCAGAGGAGTACAGAAGAAGTCTAAGGCCCCATTCACACCTATGCGTATTGTAATATGCGCGTCTGTCGCGCGGTTTTTACCGCGATTCGCGGTAAAAGTCGCGCGACCCCAAAGGCTACATGCGTGGGCCTTTTCATGCGTGGGCCGTTTTGTAGTGCGTTTGGGACGGGCGGAAATACGGACAGGTGGGAACGATACCATTGACTACAATGCTATTTATTTTTTTGACCGTTTTGTAGATCGTTCATCGAGCGTAGGACGCGCTACAAAACGGTCAGGTGTGAATGGGGCCTAAGACTGTCTGCAGAGTCTCTGGAGGGAGACTGTTTCTTGAATATAGGCTGTTTCTTGAATATAGGCTGGTCCATGGGAAGGACAGGACCAGGCCTAGGACAATGTAGAGCTACAGAGATTCCCTAGTTTCCCCACAAGGGAAACCCACCGTGCTAGGACTGACAAAGGATGGGATGCCGGAGAATAGTGACTGACGATATTCGCCAATGGGCCTATGGCCGAAGTAAGGCCCCGTTCACATATAGCGACATACCTTTTGCAGCGGATCCGCACGGCCGGGATAGCGCGACTTTCGGGGCGACGTTCCAGCGACGGTAGCGCGACCTTCCCCGTCGGGCTCCATAGAAAAAAAGTAAAATCGCGCAAAATCCGCCGAAAAAAGGGTCCGGTAGAAGCGACTTGCGACCGCGACGAGCGACATGGAGTTAAGACAGCTCCATTGAATAACATTGGCCGGCGACTTCTCGCGATATCGCGTGGCAAAAATGCGCGATATCGCGGCGGAAATCGCGCGACAATTCGCTATATGTGAACGGGGCCTCAGTCGTGGACTCTGGGCTGCTGTACCTCTCTCTCTAAATTGTATCACTATGCAAGTAACAAGTGATGTGGCTGAAATGTATGCTTTATACCAAGTTCATTCTTTCAAGTAAAACCAACAAAAAGACTATCTGTGTGGACTGGTTCTTCTCCCTCCAGCCTCTGAGAAGGTGGGGTTCTACCGGAGTGTGATGTTGGACTGTATCGTGGCTGTAACCATCCGAGGAGGGTAGGTGCGCAGTGGGGCTATGCCTGACACAGGGTGCCATTCATGGTGGCCTTTCTCCCTAAGGGGGAGGAAGTGCCTAAGACCGCAGAGGCGGTTGAAGCCATGAGGCCCTATGTACGCAGTACTACACGTGTGGGAGTGTTTGCACGAGGCCAAGGCCGTGGCCCCTGACCGTGGGGTGTCTGGTTTCGAGTTGCATGCACGGGGTTACCCAGCCAAGCCAAAGGGAACACACACGCAACACCCCGAGAGTGAACCCCGCCTACAGGCACACCCTTTAACATCCCCTGGAAGCAGCTCAGTTGCCAGATTGCTTCCAGTGTAAAGCCGACCGTCAGAGTTATGGCCGTCGGTAGTCTGTGCAGAGGGGCCCACTGCAAGCGATTGTATGCCTTATGTCTTTGGCAGCTAAAGGGTTAAAGAGGACATGTCACTTGGAGAAAAAAAACAGAGCTTATGCCTGTTGTGCTAAAGTACAAATGATAGCAGCCACTTCCTGTCTACATGCACTTCCTCAAGCCTTGGCTGCTGCACATTATTGCTTTGGACCTACTTTGTGGCAGTGACAACAGTGTACGATGCCTGCGCAATGTGCATCAAAACAACTGTGGTCTCATCACACAAGCGTGTGACAGGGTGACAACGAAGGAGCACAATTGGGAGACAGTTATCACCCCATAACAAGAAGTGCCTGAACTTCATGGCAGGATCACCAGGGAAGCTGAAGATTTAAAGTGACTTTGTCTAACAGGGTTATTTACAAAGGAGCCGAAGGATATAGCCGCAGCTTCGGCCGCCGGAGCCCTTTGGTTAATATTGGATGAACATTTCAGGAATATTGGATTCCCAACAGATATAAATACTGTGCCTTCTATGGCTGCTAAATGATCTCCGGCATTGATTATTATTTAAAAAATACCCCAAAGCACATAATGCGTTTTTAGTGCATTGCATTCATCAGTAGTGCAACACAGGAGGCATTTTATGTGTGTTTTGCCTGCTTTTCACGTGCATTTACTTCCTGCAAGGACGTGGGAAATATACACGTGATTTGGCATATGCACTGATTACAATGTATATTGCATTTGCCTTCGGCTATAATGCAATGCACATTTTTACCAAAAAGATGCAGCAAGCGGGTTTTTTGAAAAGCGCAACACACTTCCCTTCAATGGGAAACTTTGTGCAACAAAACGCGTAGGTGTGAACAGGGGCCACGGAAATGAACGGGATTGCTTGTCTTAACCGTTTTTTTTGCACTTAGCTTAACTCAGCGCAACACACTGATGTGAAGAGCTTCATAGACTATAAGGCTCTGTTCACACCTAGGTGTATCGAATATGCGCGTTTGCGATTCGTGGTAAAAAGCGCACGTCAAACGCACGTTTCCGAGGGCTACTTGGCTGTATCCCAATTGAAACACGCGACAAAAACGCAGCAAAGAAGCTCATGTACCTTTTTCAGGTGTAGGCCGTTTTGTAGCGCGTTCAGACGGGCTGAAATACGGCAAGGTGTGAACCATACCCATAGAAAACAATGGGATTTTCATGTTTGAGCGTTGAACGCGCTACAAAACGTACAGGTGTGAACCAGGCCTAAAGGTAACTCGTTTTAATGAGTCTTTAGCGAGCTGTGTTCCTGTGTTCCGTAGCGCACATAAACCGCGGCGGTGTGAGCGGGCCCTAAAACCATGAAATCATGACATTTCCAGCTGCAGAAAATGGATTTTCATACCTTTTGTCATTGTGTGGGAGGTGTAGAAAGCCTGCAGGTCTTCCAGTAAGTCTTCACAAGAGAACGGAGATCAGAGAAGTCATCAGGAATGGAGGCGTTCTGTTGTCCCCGGGTGCTATGGAAACTAGGCCCTCCCTTCTACATGCATTGTGTCAGTCTTTTGTCCAACGCTTGCAGAAATCTCCCCATTCATGACAGCACATGTAGACTGACTCCCTCCCTCCTAGACAGGAAATTGTCCTTTTCAGTGGTTACAGAAATGTAAAGGAAATGTACAGTGGTGCCTTTTAAGACTTTAAGTAGACGTGGGTTGCTGATGCTAGGGACACGTAGACGTGCAATGCTGATGCTAGGGACACGTAGACGTGCAATGCTGATGCTAGGGACACGTAGACGTGCAATGCTGATAGGGACACGTAGACGTGCAATGCTGATGCTAGGGACACGTAGACGTGCAATGCTGATGCTAGGGACACGTAGACGTGCAATGCTGATGCTAGGGACACGTAGACGTGGGTTGTCGGTGCTAGGGACGCGTAGACGTGGGTTGTCGGTGCTAGGGACGCGTAGACGTGGGTTGTCGGTGCTAGGGACACGTAGACGTGGGTTGCTGATGCTAGGGACACATGGACGTACATTGCTGATGCTAGGGACACGTAGATGTACATTGCTGATGCCGGGGACACGTAGGCGCGTGTTGCTGATGCCGGGGACACGTAGGCGCGTGTTGCTGATGCCGGGGACACGTAGGCGCGTGTTGCTGATGCCGGGGACACGTAGGCGCGTGTTTTTCCACACTTCCACACTTCGGTCTCCTGATTTTGTTTCTCGTCTGTATTTTTGGGTGAAAGCTGTGCAATCTATGCCCAGATACTGTGAGGGGAATTTATCAAAAATAAGTATCTGTCAGTGTAAAGGTCACAATTTATTAGACAGCCCAAGAACTTTTTTAAAAAACGCTGTGAAGTCCCTGATTAGTTGCTATGGGCAGCAAATGAAATAAATGTTCTCTATAACTAGACAACCAGGACATATAATTGATTCTATATTATCCACAAAGAGTTAACAGCGCTCTCTCAACCCTGCAGCAGCAGTGCCTGTACCTGCTCTCAATAGTAGTCTATGTCCGCCCTCTCTGAGTAGCAAGTAGCTTCTTCCTTCTGAGAGCCAAGCCTCGTTCTGAGGCTACTCTAGAGATCACATGACCTTCCTCCAGGAGGCAAGCCTCACTCTGAACCTTTACCCACTGATATCTTATCGGAAAGGTTTACTCAGAGTAAACCTTTCAGGGAGTAAACCTCTCTCGCGGACATCAGGGAGCCGCTATCTATTAGAGGGAGACTCCCTGAACATCAGGGAGACTTGAGATCCCTGTGATTGTGACATTTCAGCATCTGGTATCAGTTTTCCTAATAACCGACCTGAGGAACTGGGTGACCCAGACATGGAAACCGTGACATGGCCTGAGGTTATATGACTGGAATAAAAATGCAAATGTTTACTCCTAACTCGGAGGAAGTTCTAAACTGCATTACTTTGCTTTTTTTTTTTTTTCTTCTTCTGTGTATCATTTTTGTCTCCAGCAAGTAAATATTTTGTTAAATGCTATATACAATCCAGCTAAGCTATGAAAAAAAATAAGATTGCGCAATGTAGTTTCAGATTCTATGAGCACAAGTTAAAGGAGAACTATGGGGTCAGTGCTTTTCCCCATAGTTCTCCTTAGGGTAACGGGAGGACACAAACTAGCATCCTCCCGTTACCCTAAGCTCAGTATACCGCGAGCTACAGCTCGAGGTATACTGAGAAGCCGGGACGGATCCCGACATGGAAAAGCAAGCGACATTCAAACAAGCAAACTTATTATATTACTAAAATAAAAACGAACACACTCCAAGTTGCAAGAAATGGCCGCTGCATTTTTTTTATTGGTTTACTCATTAAAATCTTTAAAATTGTATAAAAATAAATAGCATAACTTCAACTAGTACTTGGCTAGAAAGGCCCAAGCACACCAATAATGATAAACATTTGTCAAAATCTTTTAAAATGTCCCCCTCAGGGAGGTGATGGACCACATAAACAATGCCACAACAGAAATGTTTCTAAATAAAAACGAACACACTCCAAGTGGCAAGAAATGGCCGCGGCATTTTTTATTGGTTTACTCATAAATTAAAATCTTTAAAATATATATAAATAATTAAATAGCATAACTTCAACTAGTACTTGGCTAGAAAGGCCCAAGCACACCAATAATGATAAACATTTGTAAACATCTTTTAAAATGTCCCCCTCAGGGAGGTGACGGACCACATAAACAATGCCGCGACAGAGATGTCTCAAAACGTATAGGGTGGGAGGGCGGGGAGCTCCTCTGGATGTCAGCTGAAGAAAGGTGAGAAGGTCACAACGGTCCATATTTTTATAACCCTCTTTAGCCAATCAGGGGCTGTTGCTACCCGCAGCTTTTCCAGCCTAGACTAAGGTAAGTCTGCCCGGATATTGTCATGACCAATCCTGTTGGGATAGAGCACAAAGAGCGGGAAAACAGCAGAAGGAGAAACAAAAAGGGGGGAGAGAACAAAATGGTTGCAGCCTTTCCATGAAGGGGGAATCACTAAGTCGTTTATTCTCCCCTGACATTACTGTCGAGATCCACCCAGCTGCGTGAGTGACAGTCACGGCTCTCTGCAGGCACAGGATCGAGATGCGAGCGACGATATGTGTTCACATCCCGATCTATTGAGCCGACGTGTGACAGTTTCATTGTCACACGTCGGCTCGAACTATGAGCCTACATAGTTCTCCTTTTTAAAGGAATTCTAATTAAAGGGAACCTGTCACTAAAAAAAAAAACACAATCCTGAAGTGGTGTCTTCCAAATCGGGTCAATGCATTTGTAAGAAATGTAAGGGCAAGCAACAGGGACGTGCGGTCAGGGGAGGCAGGTGAGGCAGAGCCTTACCTAGTATGAAGAAAGAAGGTGTCAGCTTCAATTTTGAAGCTGACAGCTTTTTCTCCATTCATATCGTCATCTATCAGGTTACATAGCAGGGAAATCCTCCCCCCTGTGTAACATGTCATAGACGGAGCGCTGGATGTTAATTACAGGCAGCGCAACATCCGGCTTTTGACAGGTAGTTAGGTTATACAGTAGCGGGCTTCCCCACTGCTTGTGTAACCTAACTTGGTGAGGCAAGGACTGTCACGGCCTCTACTGTGTTAGAGACGTGAGCTCTGTGGATGGCTTGGACCAATGGCAAAGCGCCATTGGTCCAAGCTATCCAATCAAAAAAAAGAGGGAAAAAAACCAGCGAGGACATCGCTCTCGATGCCTCACCAGTGATGAGCAAGTGAGGGACAGGGAGGCTCCTCCCTGTCTCCTCCCTTCCTCCTCCCCACAAAGCTTGGTTACTGGGATGGGGTGGAGCTTCAGTGGAATGGGGCGGAACCCAGAAGGTATGGCACGTCACTGGCAAGCACCTCTTTTAAAAAAACTTGTTCCTATGCAGGGGGTATAACTAGAATTCAGTGTCCCATAGCGAAATTTAAAAAGGGGCCCCCTTCACCGGCAGGTGGACTATAATACAGACCTATTCACATCATCTAAATGTGGGTGATCAGAGGTGCGTGACCTAAAATGTCCACCCACTTATACCCCGAAAATTGGTGGTCAGGGATGGGCAGCTATCACTGCATTCCTAGAGGGTCCTTTTTTATAACCATGGTAATTTTAGCTAGGCACTCTGAAAGGGTCATTCCATGGTCTGCAGGTGGGGGGCAGCCTGGTGTTTTCAAGATATGGAAAGACATGGCCTCTTCCTAATGAGACATGGATCAGCCAACCCCAGCCTTTCGGACATCGTTTGGGCACTCCTGCTTTTTCAGGCATTAATCAGGCACCCTGCCCTTCTTAGACATTGATCAGGCACCCCTGCACTTTGTAGACATGGGTCAGGCAACCCTGGGCTTTTAAAACATAGATCGGGAACCCTTGGCCTGTTCAGACATAGATCCCTGGCCTGTATACTTGTATAGACATGGATTGGGGACCCCGGGGCCTCTTCAGATATGGATTAGGGATCCCTGGCCTGTTTAGACATAGATCTGAGACCACTAGCCTGTTCAGACATAGACCAGGAACCCTTGGCCTGTTCAGACATGGATCCCTGGCCTGTTCAGACATGGATTAGGGACCACGGGCCTGTTCAGACATGGATCGAGATACCTTTCCTATTTAGACATGGATCAGGGACCCCCGGCCTGTTCAGATCTAGATCAGGAACCCTTGGCCTGTTTAGACATGGATCGGGGGTCCCTGATCTGTTCAGACTTGGCTCAGTACCCCTAGCCTATTTAGACATGGCCCACGGACCCCTGGCCTGTTCAGACACTGCTCAGACAGCCCTGCCCTTTTCAGATATTGAGCAGCCATCCGGCCCTTTACATGAAAGGATCAAGCAGTCCTATCATTTTTGGATATGGTTTGGAAACCCCGGGTCTGACTCTCCCATCATCCCTTAATGGTTAATGGTAAATGAATGCAACCCTGGACGGAAATAAATCTTCTGACATTGCATAAGCTTATCGAAACTATGCCACGGGGAATGTGTGTGCCGTAATTAAGGCGGTTTAAGGTAGCACCTAATAACCCGTACAATGATGCATCAAATTGATAGTTGGACCAAGCTTTGAAGGTTTTGAACCTTGGCGCAACTATCAATTGTATGCATCTTGTATTATCATATCCATATATCGATCATCTATAGAATATCTGATAACTATTTTACATGATTGTAATATGTTTGTTTTTTTCTGTACTATATTGTCCTTTTACAGGGCTTTGTAGTCTGCTTGTGTAGCAGAATAAGCCTTGGGCTAGAAACTGGAGAGTAGAGCGTGGAAATCTGCTTTCATGAGTAAGCAATTCTCTGACAATTCCTACAGTGTTACTGTACTTTTACGCAACATCATGATCCGTAGTGAAAAAAAAAGAAGGTAAAGGGCAGCTCCTCCCTACATGCCCTGAAACAAAAGTCAGGAAAGAGTCCCATCCCATGAACACACATACAGGGCAGAGCTGTCTGTGTG